GTCTCCACAACCCCAGAATGTATGTTTGATGACAGCAGGGACTTTGCCAATCTTGTTAACTGCGATTTTCCCTAGTGCCCGGAAGAGTGTCTGTAATACAGTAGAACTCAATGAATACTTCTTAAATGGCCAGTTGGATCCCGGGTATTTAAGAAGTTCTGTTAAAGGCATTAAACACATGAAACTAATTGAAGCTGATCCTTATAAAGTTTGTTTATGGAAGTAATGGACATCCTTGGTGGCCTAAGTATAATAATGATGATATGACTTAAGAATAAATGTGGAATATATTTGTGGTAGATGGTTTGGTAATAGGTAATACTGGCAGCTAGTAGAAAAATTCTGAATCTTAGTTGTGCTTCTTAGTTGGTCAAGTCTAAATACTTTTGGCTCAGTACATGTGAACACAGATCTTGTTGTCATATACCTTTCAAATGGGAACATTATAGTGACTGAAGTGGAAATTCAGGAGAATTTGGTTTTAGTCTTGGTAAAGGAAAAGAAAATAGATTTCTCAAAACATCAAGTAAATGGATGTATATCAATATTTTTATAATGAATTTTATCAATTATTTTGTTGGGTGTCTCACATATTTCACTTAGCTCTTCACAAATAAGAACTTGATTCTGGGAAAAGTTGATTTCCTCACTACTTGGCAGCAATGCTGTCTCTTTTTCCCTTGATCTTTCATTGTCTTTCCTCTATTATGGTTTTGAAATTGTGGGACACTTTTTTGTTTTTTTTAAGATAGAAACATTCCATTTTTAGTTTCTTTCTCTTAGCCTGAATCCAGTTTTTTTGTTTTTAAATTTTGCTAATATCTGTTTATACTTTTGCGTTAGTCAAAGATAATAAAATGACTTCTGTAAGTTTAGCTGTGTATGTTCCTTTTATTTCACATGTCCCAGTTTAAAAGAACCATAGGCATTTATGACTAATACTCTAAAAGAGACATCTTTTCAGGATGTGGTGTGGTGATTTTATATCTGACTGCATCAGCAATTTGTCACACAGCAAAGAAAATTCTATTGTTTGTTTAGAAAATGTTTTCTAATGCTAGTGACTATCACATTGACATTAAATTAGTCTTCTCCATTTCAATACGTTTTGAAGTATGTTGTCATTAATAAGTGAGAGGAGAACATTTCTGTATGCATGTACCTGTGTCTGTGTAATCATTTTTAATCATGTAATGCATATAAGAATTTACATACCAATTGCGTGAGAGAAGTTAAAACATTAATTTTCTTACATAATGTGAGAAGTTTTTAACGTAACTCTTAAAAATTTATTTTTGTTTGCTTTTAGGACCTTAAATAATGATATTTATATGCCCTACTAAATTCCCAGTCTCTTTTTTAAGAGCTTTGTATGTAATTATTCATTTAGTCCTTGCAGAATGAGTGATTTTACTATTTACATTTACAGATAGGAAATTGAGGCACAGAGACATGAAGGCATTTGCCCACAAGCACATTAGTACCAGGTTTAAGAGCTAGAAATTGACCCCAAGTTGTCCAATTTAACTGCAATGCACATTGTCTATACTGTTGATTTCAATGTCATTGAAATTACCCAACTGCAACCACTGAACTATAATTTTAAATTATACTGCATGATCCTCAAATATATTATGGTAAATTGGAAGAAAATTTTTCTTATGCTCCATTAAAGAGAAATATTAAATATATTAATATAAATATTTGTATTTTCTGATAATTTGCCAAAATTAATTAGATATTATATTTAAGATTTCATTGCTGTACAGTATAGACTGATTTTAAGAATGGTCAACTATTAGAGATAATTTTGGAACTTTGGTGGCTATTAGACTAAAACATTGGATTTACCCCTTAAAGCATTACTTTATAAATTTTAGAATACCTTAACTATAGTATACAGCTTTGTTATCAGTGCAAAAGAACAGTATGAGAAACTTGCAAAGTTACATGAAAACATGGAAAAGTTATACCAGAGTATAATGGGATACTATGCCATCGATGTGAAGAAGGTGTCCGTGGAAGACTTTTTTACTGACTTGAATAACTTCAGAACCACATTCATGGTATGGTAGAAAACTTAATTTGTTTTTTTAAAAGTATTTTTATCTATGCTGTCTCATCTATTCTACTTTTATTAATATTTCATTACTTCATTCCATTCTTGTCTGTAGTAAAACCTACCTTTCCTGATGTTAAAAGTTAACTTTAGAAATTTCAGGTTTTAAATCTATTAAAAAATGTGTGGTTTGTTCTCTTTTTAACCTTTCCAACATTAAGCTATAATCAGAAATTTTAATTGAAAAGTGACAAATTCTGAAGTTCTTCATAAAGACTCCCCTCCTAGCTGACCACAGAGCACTTTTATAAGTTTTTGGCTATGAATTTGTTTCTTTATACTTAAGATCAATTTGTATTTTTGTGATATAATTTTACTAAATTCCATGCAGCTCTTATGAAGCTTTTTTTTTTCCCTTTTTTTAATGCATTGTACAATAAGCTACATGCAATTTGCCTTTGAATAGATTTTATGTTTGTAGGTTTTCCTTTAGATACTTTAATAGGGAGGTCAGGTCTTTGATGTGGAATCCTTTCATTTAGGCATTAAAAAGATCTTTTGAAAAGTATTAGCTGATTAGATGGGGGGAGGAACACACATATGAAAGTGAGAAGGCATTGTTGCCTCCCTAGGGAAACTGGTGATACATTTCTACAACAAAAAATTGTTATTTTTAATAGATGGTAAGTCATTTCTATATTTCAGCAAGTGTTTGTGGAAATTAAAAAGTTTTGAGGTATAAAGAAAAAGAAGGTTGAATTTAAGGAGCTGGTTCTTTTTTAATCTCAGGGAAACTTTATTGCTGAGTTTATGGGACTTGGTTTTAATTACTTAATTATGATTGATTAGATAGCCTTTTAATAAAAACACACTATTTTAAAGGAAAACTAGTCTACAGTAAATACACATTTGCTCATAGTTCTAGTATATTTCCTCCACAAATTCAAACTGATTCTTTAGATTATTTTTTCAGTACCAGAAATGGATTTGGTTGATAAATATATTATGATGTATCTATAAGTCATGTACTTTACAATATATTATTTTAAATTTTATAAAGTTTTCTCGGGCAGTATAGCTTAGTGGAAGTAGTAAAGACTTTGCAGTCTGAGAGAGCTAGGTTTGGATTCCATACTAGTTATGTGGCTATAAATATTTAACCTTCCTTAGCCTCAATTTCCATGTTTGTTAGGGGGGGGAAATATGCCAGTTCCTTCCTCATAAGCGTATTTAAGTATTAAATGAGATAATATATTAAAATGTTTATCATAGGTCCTGGCACATGGTAGTTGCTCAGTAAATTATTATGCAGTGAAGGGTTAGTTTAGCAGGCTTGAGATACTCAAACCCTTCTTCGTATTACAAAGAAAGGACTGGCTCTTGACTAGCTCTTGAGAGATCTGCCTCTAAGCCCTAGGAATACCCTGCCTGATAAGGGCATTTTTATGTACCTGGGGTCTTGGGCCAACCTAGATAGATATGCAAACAATGCGATTTATGGTGAACACCTGTTTTTGTTCACCTGGGGCTCTAGGCCACAGCCACACTATGTCAGTGTGACCTCTTGGGGAGCCGGAGATTGAATAGCTAAGATTAGTCATGGAGGCAGTCCATGCCTAAGTCACTGACCCCCGATAAAAATCCTTGACAGCAAGGTTCAGGTGAGCTTCCCTGGTTGGCAAGACTCTGTACATACTGTTTTGGGGATAATGACACACTGTGCTTGGGACCCCACTGTGAGAGGACAACTGGAAGCTTATATCTAGTTTCTCCTGGAATCTTCCCTATGTACTTTTTTCCTTATTGATTTTAATCTGTATCCCTTTGCTGAAATAAACCATAACAATGAGTATAATGGCTTTTCTGAGCTATGTGAGTCTTTCCAGCAAATCCTCAAACATGTAGGTGGTCTTGGGGGCCTCTGACACAATTATGCATAAAGTATAAGATGGATATATGAAATAATAATACTCTACATATATTGAGTATTTTCTGTGAACCAGGCATTCTTTTAAATGCCTTACATATCATATATTATCTCAATCTTCACAATAATTCTACATCTTTTCACTGTTCATATCCTTCTATGGCAGATGAAGAAACTGAGGCACAGAGATGGAACATATCTAGCCCAGTGTCATACTGCTATAAAATGGTGGCACTAGAATTTGAGTCCACGTAATCTTCCTCCAGAGTCTGCACTCTGAAATGCTATGTCATGCTGCCTCCTGTATTCTATACTTTGTGTTCCATTTTACTAATAAGACCACTAGCATTTGGAAGGTTTGTTCTTGAAACAAAGGCCATGTTGTTCATAAATGATTGAGTTGCGATTTGAATCCAGTTCTAATTCCAAATCTTCCTAAGAACTAAAAGGATTAGAGGGCTTTGGAAATTCTGTGGTAACTTGGCATTTCATTACCAAGTTGTGGGAAGAGGAAGAAAGTGTTTGAATGGGAGATGGGTTCCAAAAAGTGGATAAAGAGAGTGTCAGTTATGCTTACTTTGTCTATTTCAGAGTTCCCACATGTCCTAGAAGTAGCTGCCATCACACACACATTCATGCACACACTGTACTAAATGAAAATTGTTAGAGCTAAATATAAAAACTTCTTCATCTAAATAAATAAACTGGAACAGAAATTTTCTTTAGGACTAGAGTAAGCATAAAGAAGACTAGAAGGGAACTGGTTGTGCCAAGGTGTTGAGATTTTACACAGGTATTGTATTCTATTTTTTTGATTTTTTTTTTTTTTTTTTTGGTAAATATGGTTATACTGCTTGGATTTTAGACAAAATATATATCTTTTAAAAGTCCAGAGTTTTAATATTGGCAAGAACTATTGACAAATAAATGTCATGTTTTGTCAGAGTCTTCTGATCTCTTGGGTTGCTCTTAAATTGCATATTATTCAACTTTGGAAACCAGGTTAACTTGAGTCAGAATGGAAATATTAGGTCTATAGCTACAGATGTGGAATTTTAATGTGTTGAAGGTCTGTTCTGGAAAGCCATGTTAATACTGTAGGCAAAAATATTTACTTTCTCTTTTTTAAAAATGCTTTTGAAATATTTCCATTGTTGCTCCATCCACTGGCATTTAGGTATAGTCTTGGTCACGAATAAGCAAGTTTTACCATAAGGTACAGATCTATTTTTCTCTTACAGGGAATTAGGACCACTGTCCTTACTCCATACCCACCCCCCATGATGGGTATGTTTTCCCTCAAGTTCAGGCCACTGTACTTATTGTTACCCGTGCTTACAGCACATCCTTTGTACTTGCCTGGCTTAATTATTGTATGGACCCTTTTGATCTCTGCACAGACATTTCTTCCTCTGGTAACATCTGTATCTGTCTTATTGATCTTTGTGTTGCTAGTGCAATTCATGGTTTATAATAGATAAATTTGTTGAGTAACAGGTGGGTGACATGGTTTTAATAGCTAACACATACAGTATCAACCATGTGTCTGGAGCTGTAAGTGCTCATATAATCCTTACAACAGTAACCAGATATGTTACGTGTACTGTTAGTATTCACATTTTTCAGATGAGGAAACTGAGGAATAGCGAGACCCTGACTTGTGCATCATTATGCAGCTGGCAAGGAGCTAAGGTGCTTATCCAGGCTGTCTGGCCCCGGAGTCTGTACCATACAGGGCTGAAATTTGTCGACTTTTGTTAAATGTATAACTGCTATAGCTGTTTCAAACAGGACTAACTTGAAACCTAATCCCTCCCCCAAAATAAAAAAGTGGTCATATTTATTTGTAACAATATTTTATCTAAAATTATTTACACTTTAAGATTGTCTTAGAATTTAAACTTAAGCAATTAAAGGTGGGCTATTTATTCAAAGCTTTTCACTACACCCCTGACTAAGTCATACAATCTCTCCTTAGTGTTACTACGATCTCACACCTAATTTATAGACATAGCTTCTCAGGTTCATTTTTTTTTGCTCTGTGAGAGCCTGTTACAATAGCTAAAGAAGGGACATCTGTTCCAGACTGCTGCCTCAAGCCATATAGACCAAGAGGAAAAAGTTTCAAAATCTTGTAGCTTCTCTGAGGAACAGCTGTTCATTTGACAGCAGTTTAACTCATCTCTCTTCTACTTTGAGAATTCTCAATTGGGAATTAATTTTTTTTAAACAATCTACTATAGGTAATGCGCTCATTGGAAATGGTTCTATTTGTTTAGAACAATTGATCACCTTCCCAAGAAATAGGGAGTAAGTTGTACTGTAATTTTGTTCAGCTTTATTTTTGTTATCATTTTCAACAGAATAAAACCAAAAACAGCAGCCACTGATTGAGTACTTGCTTCTTAGTAGACCATGTGCTAAGGACTTTACATGTGGTGTCTCAGTTAATCTTTGCAATGTCTTTACAGGTGAGCTAACTGTGACTTAGAGAAGCTCTGTGCCTTCCGAAGGGGCTTCAAAATCAGTAGGGGCTAAGATTGAGTGGAAGTCTGCTGACTCCAAACCCTGTACTTTTAACAGTTTCAAGTACACTGCTGCTCAGAGAGCTTGCAAGAAAAGACAAGGTTGTAATTTTTAAGGGTGTTTTTGATAACTTACTGGAGAGAATCAGCACAGGGTTTTTTTTTTTTTATTCTCTGGTATAATAATTTTATATTGATGGGTTCATGATAGAAGAATGTTTTCAGATCTGGTTGTGTTTCAAAGCATAACATGTTCTCTTTTAAAATTAGAGGATTATTAATGTAAAGCCTGATTGTGGGGTGAGGGATAAGGTGAAGGATAGAGAGTCAGCACCTTTCTGTAATAGATTTTTATTTCCTTTAGGACTCGTGAAGATAAAGTTCAAATTGGAGGTACTAGGTAGAAATATCTGACTGCACACTGTAGACTGAGTAAATTGGTGGCCTATCAGGCATCAAGCTTATACCAAGTGAAGTTTGTGTCTTCAGACATATAGTGTTGTATAACAATAATCATCATTTTCCTATTGTGGCTGGTTTTAGACTCGTGATATG